CAGCCCAAACCCTGATCCTTCCTATTGTTTTCCATTTCTGCCTGCCAACTCATTCTCAACTGAGCTCATCACTTCTTTGTTATAACTTGCAAGCAATAAGGAGCTGTTCTTTTTTTTTTAAAGTATCTATTTATTTTTTCTTTTTATTATTATTTTTTAAAATATATTTTATTGTAATTTAGGTTTGGGGTACTTGTGCAGAACTTGCAGTATTGTTGCATAGGTACATACATGGCAATGTAGTTTTCCGTCTCCATCCCTGTCACCTGTATCTGACATTTCTCCCCATGTTATCCCTCCCCTACTCCCTGCTGTCCCTCCCTAAGTCCCCCACAGCAGACCCCAGTGTGTGATGCTTCCCTCCCTGTGTCCATGTGTTCTCATTGTTCAAGACCTGCCTATGAGTGAGAACATGTGGTGTTTCATTTTCTGTTCTTGTGTCAGATTGCTGAGAATGATGGTTTCCAGATTCATCCATGTCCCTGCAAAGGACACGAACTCATCATTTTTAATGGCTGCATAATATTCCATGGTATATATGTGCCACCTTTTCCTTGTCCAGCCTATCATCGATGGGCCTTTGGGTTGGTTCCAGGTCTTTGCTATTGTAAATAGTGCTGCAGTGCACATATGTGTGCTTGTATCTTTACAATAGAACAATTTATAATCCTTTGGGTATATACCCAGTAATGGGATTGCTGGGTCAAATGAAATTTCTATTTCTAGGTCCTTGATGAATTGCCACACTGTCTTCCACAATGGTTGAGCTAATTTACACTCCCACCAACAGTGTACAAGTGTTCCTATTTCTCCACATCCTCTCCAGTATCTCTTGTCTCTGGATTGTTTAATTATCACCATTCTAACTGGAGTAAGATGGTGTCTCAATGTGGTTTTGATTTGCATTTCTCTAATGACCAGTGATCATGAGCATTTTATCATATGTTTATTGGCCTCATAAATGTCTTCTTTTGAAAAGTATCTGTCCATATCCTTCACCCACTTTTGAATGGGTTTGTTTTGTTTTTCTTTCTTGTAAATCGGTTTTCGTTCTTTGTAGATTCTGGATATAAGTCCTTTGTCAGATGGGTAGATTGCAAAAATTTTTTCCCATTCTGTTGGTTACCAGTTCACTCTAATGATTATTTCTTTTGCTGTGCAGAAGCTCTGAAGTTTAACTGGATCCCATTTGTCTATTTTGGCTTTTGTTGCCAATGCTTTTGGTGTTTTAGTCATAGTATAGTCCTTGCCTATGCCTATGTCCTGAATGGTTTTGCCTAGGTTTACTTCTAGGGTTTTTATGGTGTTAGGTCTTATGTTTAAATATTTAATCCATCTGGAGTTAATTTGAGTGTAAGGTGTCAGGAAGGGGTCCAGTTTCTGCTTTCTGCACATGGCTAGCCAGTTTTCCCAACACCATTTATTAAACAGGGAATTATTTCTCCATTGCTTGTGTTTGTCAGGTTTGTCAAAGATCAGATGGTTGTAGATGTGTGGCATTGCCTCTGAGGCCTCTGTTCTTTTCCATTGGTCTATGTCTCTGTTTTGGTACCAGTACCATGCTGTTTTGATTACTGTAGCCCTGTAGTATAGTTTGAAGTTTGGTAGTGTGATGCCTCCAGCTTTGTTCTTTTTGCTTAGAATTGACTTGGCTATGCAGGCTCTCTTTTGGTTCCATATGAAGTTTAAGGTGTTTTTTTTCCAGTTGTGTGCAAAGGGTCATAGATATCTTGATGGGGATAACATTGAATGTATAAATTATTTTGGGCAGTATGGCTCCTAATCATGAGCATGGAATGTTTTTCCATCTGTTTGTGTCCTCTCTTACTTCCTTGAGCGGTGGTTGTAGTTATTCTTGAACACATCCTTTACATCCTTTGTTGGTTATATTCCTAGGTATTTTATTCTCTTTGTAGCAATTGTGAATGGCAGTTCATTCTTGATTTAGCTCTCTTTAAGTTTGTTATTGGTGTATAAGAATGCTTGTGATTTCTGCACATTGATTTTGTATCCTGAGACTTGGCTGAAGTTTCTTATCGGTTTCAGGAAATTTTGGGCTTAGATGATGGGGTCTTCTAAATATACAATCATGTCTGCAAATAGAGATGATTTGACTTCCCCATATCCTAATTGAATACCCTTTATTTCTTTTTCTTGCCTGATTGCTCTGGCTAGAACTTCCAATACTATATTGAATAGGAGTGGTGAGAGAGGGCATCCTTATCTAGTGCCAGATTTCAAAGAGAATGCATCCAGTTCAGTATGATAGTGGCTGTGGGTTTATTGTAAATAGCTTTTATTATTTTGATATGCCTTCCACTGATATCTAGTTGATTGAGAGTTTTTAGCATAAAGCACTGTTGAATTTTGTTGAAGGCCTTCTTTGCTTCTGTTTATGTGGTGAATTACATTTATAGACTTGCATATATTGAACCAGCCTTGCATCACCAGGATGAAGTCTACTTGATCGTGCCGGATAAGCTTTTTGATGTGCTGTTGTAATTGGTTTGCCAGTATTTTATTGAAGATTTTTGTATCTATGTTCATCATGGATATTGGCCTGAAGTTTTCTTTCTTTGATGAGTCTCTGCTGAGTTTTGGTATCAGGATGATGTTGGTCTCATAAAATGATTTGGGAAGGAGTTCCTGTTTTTGTATTGTTTGGAATAGTTTCAGAAGGAGTTATACCAGCTCCTCTTTGTATGTCTGGTAGAATTCAGCTGTGAACCCATCTGGACCTGGGCTTTTTTGGTTGGTAGGCTATTAATTGCTGCCTCAACTTCAGCCCTTGTTATTGGTCTATTCAGGGTTTCCACTTCTTCCTGGTTTAGGCTTGGGAGGGTGCAAGTGTCCGGGAACTTATCCATTTCTTCCAGGTTTACTGTTTTATGTGCATAGATTTGTTTGTAGTAATTTTTGATGGTAGTTTGTATTTCTGTGGAATTTGTGTGGATATTCTATTTATCATTTTTTATTGCATCTATTTGATTCTTCTTTCTTTTCTTTTATATTAATCTGGTAGGTGGTCTGTGTATTTTGTTCTTCTTTTCAAAAAACCAGCTCCTGGATTTATTAATTTTTTGAAGGGTTTTTTTTTTGTGTCTCTATCTCCTTCAGTTCTTCTCTGATCTTAGTTATTTCTTGTTTTCTGCTTGGTTTTGAGTTTTTTTGGTCTTGCTCCTCTAGCTCTTTCAATTTTGTTGATAAGGTGCCAATTTTAGATCTTTTCTTGCTTCTCATACGGGCATTTGTTGCTATAAATTTTCCTCTAGACACTGCTTTAAATGTATTTCACAGATTTTGGTATGTTGTGTTTTCATTCTCATTGTTTTTGAAGAACATCTTTATTTCTGCCTTCATTTCATTGTTTATCCAGTCAACATTCAAGAGCCAGTTGTTCAGTTTCCATGAAGTTGTGCAGTTCTGAGTTTGTTTCTTAATGCTGAGTTCTAATCCCGTGTTCTAATTTTATTGCACTGTGGTCTGAGAGACTGTTTGTTATGATTTCCATTCTTCTGCATTTGCTGAGGAGTGATTTACTTCCATTTATGTAGTCAGGTTTAGAGTAGGTGTGATGTGGTGCTGAGAAGAATGTATATTCTGTGGATTTGGGGTGGAAAGTTCTGTAAATGTCCATTAGGTTTGCTTGATCCAGGTCTGAGTTCAAGTCCTGGATGCCCTTGTTAATTTTCTGTTTCATTTTTCTAATATTGAAAGTGGAGTGTTAAAGTCTCCCACTATTATTGCGTGGGAGTCTAAGTCTCTTTGTAGGTCATTAAGAACTTGGTTTATGTTTCTGGGTGCTCCTGCATTGGTGCTTATATATTTAGGATAGTTAGCTCTTCTTGTTGCATTGATTCTTTTACCATTATGTAATGCCCTTTATGTCTCTTTTGATCTCTGTTGGTTTAAAGTCTTTTTTATCAGAGACTAGGATTGCAACTCATGCTTTTTTTGCTCTCCATTTGCTTGCTAAATCTTCCTCCATCCCTTTATTTTGAGCCTATATGTATCCTTGCATGTGAGATGGTTTTCCTGGATACATGACACTGATGGGTTTTGACTTTTTATCCAATTTGCCAGTCTGTGTCTTTCGATTGGGGTATTTAGCCCATTTACATTTAAGGCTAATATTGTTATGTGTGAATTTGATCCTGCCATTTTGATGCTAGCTGGTTGTTTTGCCCATTAGTTTATGCGGTTTCTTCATTGTGCCGATGCTCTTTATCATTTGGTACATTTTTGGAGTGGCTGGTACTGGTTGTTCCTTTCCATGTTTAGTGCTTCTTTCAGGAGCTCTTGTAAGGCAGGACTGGTGGTGACAAAATCTCTGAGCAATTCCTTGTTCATAAAGAATTTTATTTCTTCTTCACTTATGAAGCTTCATTTGGCTGGATATGAAATTCTAGGCTGAAAGTTCTTTTCTTTAAGGATGTTGAATATTGGCTCCCACTCTCTTCTGGCTTGTAAGGTTTCTTCCAAGAGATCCACTGTGAGTCTGATGGGTTTCCCTTTGGGGGTAACCCGACCTTTCTTTCTGGCTGCCCTTAGCATTTTCTCCTTCATTTCAACCTTGGTGAATCTGAGAATTATGTGCCGTGGCATTGCTCTGCTTGAGGAATATCTTTGTGGTGTTCTCTGTATTTCCTGGACTTGAATATTAGCCTGCCTTGCTAGGTTGGGGAAGTTCTCCTGCATAGTATCCTGAAGAGTGCTTTGCAGCTTGGATTCATTCTGTCTGTCATATTCAGGTACACCTATCAGACATAGATTAGGTCTTTTCACATAATCACATATTTCTTGGTGGCTTTGTTCATTTCTTTTTACTCCCTTTTTCTCTAATCTTGCCTTCTCATTTTATTTCATTGAGCTGATCTTCAATCTCTGATATCCTTTCTTCTGCTTCATCAATTTGGCCATTGAAGCTTGTGTATGCTTTGTGAAGTTCTCGTGGTGTGTTTTTCAGCTCTATCAATTCATTTATATTCTTCTCTAAGCTGAAAAATATGGAACCCTTTATGAATTTGCATCTCCTCCCTGCTCAGGGTCCATGCTAATCTTCTCTGCATTGTTCCAATTTGAATATATGTGCTGCCGAAGCAATCACAAGGAGCTGTTCTTTCTAGAAGTTTTCCCTAGACCTGCTACTTCAGAAGGCATGTGGTCTGCCTTCCAAATCGTTGGAGGCAATAGTTTACCAGATGTTTTGCCAGGGTATGCCAAATATTTGTGGGTTTCTCATCTCCAACAGCCTTCTGTTGCTCTACTGATAAACCAATGTCACATTTTAGGTATTATGATGGTAGCATTCCATATATGGTAGTTTTTTCTGTATTAGGTTAAGGATGGCGGCTAAAAAAGAAACTCTAAAACATGATGCTTAAAACAGGATGGAAAATTTTTCCTTTCTCACATAATTATCTGATGGTAGCTCTCTGCCATGTAAATAATCAGGGACTCAGATTCTTTCTATGTTGTTTTCTTATTACCTCATGGGGTATTGTCTTCATTTGCAAGATTAAAACCATATCTCAGGTTTGTCCATCGTGTAAAGAGGAGATTCTGGAGGAGATATGCTTAGAAGTGGGCACATTTAATCCCAGCACTTTGGGAGGCCGAGACGGGTGGATCACGAGGTTGAGAGATCGAGACCATCCTGGTCAACATGGTGAAACCCAGTCTCTACTAAAAATACAAAAAATTAGCTGGGCACGGTGGTGCATTCCTGTAATCCCAGCTACTCAGGAGGCTGAGGCAGGAGAATTGCCTGAACCCAGGAGGCGGAGGTTGCGGTGAGCCGAGATCGCACCATTGCACTCCAGCCTGGGTAACAAGAGTGAAACTTCGTCTCAAAAAAAAAAAAAAAAAAAAAGAAGTGGGCACATTTATGTTCTGCTCATATTTTAATGGTGAAAACAAAGCCACATCCGACTGAAAAGGAATCTGGGAGATGCAGTGTGGGTAAGCAGCCTTTTACAAAGCTTCAGTTGTATTATAAAAAAGTGAGAATGATAGTCAGCAGCCTCTGTTATGGGAGACCGTCTAAAAGTAGGGACCCTTGTTGAGAGGCTGTTGTAATCATAAGGTATGCAATGATCATGGCTGTGTAGAGTAGTAGTAGTAGTAAAGGTGTTGAGGAGGAGTTGGATTTTAGATATATTTCAAAAGCTAGTAGAATTTGCTAATGGGTTGGATATGAGAGAAGGTGACTCTAAGATTTTTGGTTTGTGCACCTGAGTAGTGACATGTACTGAGAAAGGGAAAATTAGAGGAAGGGCAATTTTGAGATGGGGAAAATGAAGAGTTAGATTTTGGACTGATCAGACATCCAAGTCAGCAGGTCATGTGGGGATATATAAGTTTAAAGTTCAGGAATATTATTGGAGATATAAATTTCTGGGGCCATCTGTGTGTAGATCGTATCTAAAGCTATGCATGTGTCATACCACCTAGAGAGTTAGTGAAGCTAAGAAAAGAGGCAAAGAGCTCTAAGAACTGAGCTTTAGTGCACTCCTGTGTTTAGAAGCCATGGAGATTGGGAGAAACCAACAAAGACTTGACAGGGTGGCCAGGGAGGTAGGGAAAGAATTAAGAGATAAAGTTTCCCTAAATACAAGAGAAGAAGGTATTGCAGGAAAGAGAAAGTGGCAGAGTAGCTCAAATATTGGTATTTCAATGAGGTCGAACATGACAATCCACCAGCAATGTTGAGTCCAACTGGTGACTTTGACAGAGCTGTTACATTGCATGGAGTGATTTGAAGAGAGAATGGGACTAGTGGACACACAGAACAAACATGACCGAATTTTGGAGAAGTTTAGATATACAGGGAAGTAGTGAAGTGGAGTAGTAACTTGAAGGAAACTGTGGGAACATAAGTGGGTTCTTTTAATATGAGAGATATTAAAACGGGCTCTATATTCATAGGGATGATCCAGTAGAGAAAGAAACATATCACTAGTATAAGAGGGAGTGATCATCATTGGAATAACGGTAAGCGATGGGCTATAGCATTCCACTGTTGATCTTCATCTCAGAAAGTAACGTGCTTCACCTGTTATCATGAGGGAAGGTAGGGAAATGAGTATAGATGCCAGTAACTTGATAGACACAGCAGTGGAAATGTGCGGGCATTCTTTTCTGATGGCTTCTACTTTATCAACCACTTAGGAAGCAGGGTCCTCAGCTAAGAGAGCATCAGGAGAGAGGAAGTAGAGGTTTGAGAAGAGATGGGAACTTGTGAATTGTGGTCTAGAAGAAGAGGAGTGAATGAATTCAGCATATGTAGAAGAGTTGCTTGATATTCCTGATTATAGCTTTGAAGTGAAACAACCAGGAGAATTGAATATTTTTTTCCAACCTTGTTTGTCTTTGTGATTGTAGGTGCAGAGTAGACAAGAATTGGTTTACCAGCACAGGGATTTAGACAGGTGTGTCTGTCAGGATCCAGTCAGAAGACAGAAATCATACCACCAACTAGAACAGAGAAAATCTAAGATAAACAACAACACCTAGGTGAGTGATGGTTATCTACTAGCAAGGGGTGCACAGAGGCAGTGCCTGCAGAGAGAGACTGCATGCCTACATGCCAATCACAGCACCAGAAATGTCTCTTCTTTCACTTCAAGCCCAGCACTTTCCCTCTAGCATTCTCTATGGGCAGAGCTTATTCTGGAGAAATGTCTGCAGAAGCCAGCTCTGGTGTCACAAAGCAGGGCAAAGAAGATTGGGGTTTGGAATTGAGAGGCAACAACTTAATAACTAGTGCAACCAGATGAGCACAAGGTGGACAGCGTGGGCAAGGAAAGTGAGGTTGTATGCTAGAGAGTGATTATGATAATCATGGAATCTTATCTTGATGAGGAAGGAGAGAAGGAAAAGGAGGTGAAAGGCAATAAAAAGAAGCCACCGCTTCTACCCTGCTGGAATGGCGCTCTCTGGAAGGGTGCACGGTATGACCCTCGCAACTGTTCATCAGTGCTCTGGAATGCACTGTGAGACGCATTTGGACCCCAGAAAGACTGGAAGAGGGTTTTACATGTGAACAAATCTGATTTTTTCTATGTCAATGTTCAGAATTATCATAAAGATCTGCCAGATGAATCCTGTTGGAAAAAGTAAGTGGAGAAACTAATTCGTGCTCAGGCACTTTCATTTACCGTAAGGACCATGGAGAAGGCAAATTTTCACCTAAGCTATTATTGTTCAACATTGCCAAACCTAGGGATCTTTCAGTACTTTTCCACTTTTTTCCTGAGCTGTGAATAAGAATACTAAAAGATTCAGTTCTAGTAATTTGTATAATGAAAGAATGAATGTATTATGTTTTCCACACGACACGAAGACTCTCACATTCCCCTTCTCCTCCGTTGCCTGCATCTCTTCCTCCTCCCACCTCTTGAGAATAATTGACCTAAACATGTAAATGTCTAACAGGGCAATCTCAGGGATCTGCAAGAGGCCACTCAGGAAGAAATCTGAAGTGTGAAGCATTTTACCCCACTAAAATCATGCTAGTTGCTGACAGCCAACTCTGCCTGCCAGTAATTATAGCCTGTCAGGGTTCACAGGCCCTTGCATTTCACAAAGATGTGTGAATTGCACATGTCTTACATTTCTTAGTAGGGGCCTGCCCTACAGCAATATTTTTACCAAATGACAGTTTTCAGGGAGGTATTGGATCTTATTTAAGTAAAAAAAAAATAATAATAATAGTTACCCTTCACTGTAAGACCACAAAGGAGGCTGCAATCAATGAATTTGCAGTCAGGTACGTTGCTCAAGGCATTAGCTCAGTTTGGTGTAGAGCTGTTTGTTTACAAGTCATTAGGAGACCCCAGACTCATTTGTGGTGACAGGTAGTCTTCATTCCTTTATCTGCTTTTTTTTCCTCCTTAAACGAATTTTTGATTGTGGTAAGATATACATAACATAAATATGACTATTTTAACCTACTCATTTAGATGTCTCATGGGTAAGCTGCCTCTTTTTAATCTACCTATGCAGTATAAAATTAAGAGCAAATTACACCATCATCAAATAGAGGAGGGTTTTTAAAAGATAACTGGAGAGTGATATACAAGGTTTCCCAATCACTACCCCTAATTGCAAAGAGGAGCAAAGAATCTTTCATGAGTATTTTAACTATAATTAAAGACAAATAATCAACTATGAACTTTCCATTATTTTAGCAGTGTGTTCTCTGAGGCAACCGAACTTTTCCCAGGGGAAAAGAGATTACTGTTTGCCGTAAATCAAACGTGTGTGGAAAGCAGGGCATACAGCGAAGTGGGAAGTAAGAGAGGTAAGACTCCAGGAAAGCAGAGAGAGAATTTCTGGGTCAAGAAGAGGTAGGAGAACTTTTGCAAGCTAAACGAAGAAGGATTTAATAAGGGAGAAACCTAAATAACATGAAATTGGAGGAGTGGAGAAGTGGGCTAAAAAGGTGATACAAGGATCATATGTGTAACCTGCTATGGGGAGTCTAGTCAAAAACAATCAACTTCCAGCCTGGATTTCATTAGAAAATTCTTCATTCAACAGAGACAAATTCAGCTTCTATTTTTTTTTTTTTTTTTTTTTTTTTACACATAACAGTTGATCACTGGATGAGCAAGATATACCCAGAGTCGGCACCCTCACTGTGTTGGCGTAACAATTCTGGAGAGGAGGTTGTGTGTTGGGGTGAATGCGGAGACTAGAAAGTGTTCCTGCTCTTCTAAGGTCAGGGAATTCATTCATTTATTCTTTTATTTTTGAGATGGAGTTTCGCTCTTGTTACCCAGGCTGGAGTGCAATGGCGTGATCTCGGCTCACTGCAACCTCCACCTCCTGGGTTCAGGCAGTTCTCCTGCCTCAGCCTCCCGAGTAGCTGGGATTACAGGCACGCGCCACCATGCCCAGCTAATTTTTTGTATATTTTTTAGTAGAGACGGGGTTTCACCATGTTGACCAGGATGGTCTCGATCTCTTGACCTCGTGATCCACCCGCCTCGGCCTCCCAAAGTGCTGGGATTACATCATTCATTCTTTACTGAAACTTTTTTTTGGCATTTCCTAGGTTCCAGGCAAAAACACTTTTTCACGAGTGGAAGTGAGTCCAGTAAG